CATCCTGGCTGACTCAATAGTTAGGACTTTAAGTGTGAAAAGGAGGCATAGGAATAATTATCTAAGTTACATGAAAATTGTAATAAGGGCTCAACCTGATCTAATAAACAGAGGAAATAGCAAGGGAAAACAGGAAGAGAATTATGAGGGTAATTTGAGAGGTTTAAATACAAGTCCTTAAGTGGTTTATACTTTCCTGGACCACACATCAGCTCAGCATTAATTGGAAGAGATGATTAGAAGCACTTAAGATGCTGTCTAATCAAGCCCAGCGCTGTTTCCTTTTCTAAATAACCTACGGCCTTCACTCCAGATAAAGATGAATCTTTGACCCAGCTATTCTGTGCCTAGTATCTACTCAAAGGACATAAAAACTCTAATTTTAAAGGAAAACTGCACTCTATGTTTATTACAGCACTATTTACAATAGCCAAGATATGGAAACAACCCAAATGCCCCAGAACAAATGGACAGATCAAGAAGATGTGGCATATATACACAATGGAATACTACTCAGCCATCAAAAAAGATAAACTCATGCCATTTGTGACAACAGGGTTAGAGCTGGAAGGGATTATGCTAAGTGAAATAAATCATAAGGGAAAAAGATAAATATTGCATGGTTTCACTTATGTGCAGAATATAGAGAAACCAAACAAAGGGTCAGGAAAAAGACAAAACTTGCAGCCAGACCATAGATCTGAGGCATAAAGCAGGGGAGGGCATGGGAAGACCAAAATAGAGGAGGCAAAAGCACAAAGGGCTATGGTGTTGGGTCACTATGGTGGTGGAAGAAGTACAGGGATTACACCTGAGGGGAGAAATCAAATACTAGCCAAAAATCAACAAAGATGTAAGAAAATAAATAAGTTATTAACAACAGATGATGAGTCTTTGTGACAGAACCCAGTGCCTGAATATTAATTGCCAGCTTGCTATTGCTCTTAAAGGCAATTTAAAAATGTTTCCTGGGACCCAGTCTATTGGAACAATGGCTAGACTATAGCTTAGTTTTTTGGTATCTTCTTACTTGGTCCCCATGTTCTAATTTTTTACAAGACCTCTGGATGAACTGCCAGGCCTCCAAGAGTCCAGGGAATGCCTTTTGGGGGCGTGTGCAATTTGGGGGGCTGTGACTTAGTATGGAGAAGGAAATGGAGTGAGAATCTTGCATTCACTATCAGTTTTGAATGTCTTCTTCCTGTGTCATAATTCCTCTGTCAAGTTGAGAAATATTGGTTTCATTGCTATTTCACGGGAGCTTATCAAGCCCGGGAAGTGAGGACGGCGTACCACAAAGGGCTTGGGAGGACTCAGAAAAACAGGAGCTATTCACCTTGGATGTACTTTTACAAAGAACTCTGCCTTGCTCACAGCTGCTGAGTTTAACTCTGTTAGACAACAGTGATTTTATAATGCCACTATAAAGTTTTCAGAACCCTTATAAAAACTACGAACATAATAGTAAGTAGACTCCTTTCAAACTATCTATTTTAGTCTGTGCCAGGCATACATGACAGAGAAGAAACAGCACTGATAGGAATTCTGAGGAGCCCTGGTTTGAGAAATATTGGTCATTAAATAATTTAGGGAGTTGGGATTCTCAGAAAATAATTTATCTTCCTGGCCCTAGCTGTTTCATCTATAAAACAGGTAGAGGGATTGGGATTATTTAGTATTATTTTTAGCATGGCTGAACAGTAGAATAACTTGGGTAGCTTAAAGTATTATGGATACCCAAGTTGTACCTAGACCAATAGAACAGATGCCCAGGCACAGCACCCTGGACATGGGTGTTAGTAGCCCCACAGGTTATTCTGAGCCTCCAAGTTGAGAACCACTGCAATCCACTCTCACATGTCTTTGGTGGCCAAATTTCTGTGATGTCATTCTGTGCTGCCCACTTGGTGACAGGACATATAATAGACCTGAGGACAGGATGCTCACAGCCCATTTTTAATGATGATTCTCTTTTCTTTAACTACTTTCTACCAAAGTCTGGAAGATTCTGCCTCACATTATGTGCAGACTGCATTGGCATTTCCAAGATGCAGGTGGTTCATCTGGGGCTGTCTTGAAGGGAAAAAGTTAACATTTTATCTCATCCAAAAAAAAAAAAAAAGGTGACAAAGTTAATCTGCCCTCCAAAGTTTTTTGACAGCTTGTTAAAATTCATTTCAATTTTGAATGTTCATGTCAGAAAAGGGGACTAAACAGATTAATTTAATTGACCCATTGTCTTTCACTCTTGGCAAATAATTAAACCAGCCTTCCCCAGCTAAAGATTGGTACTCTGACAGTAGTTGCTGATTTTATCTTTGTCCAAACTACATTGCCTACTGGAAGATAAGAAGTAAAGAAGGCATAGCTTGGCACAAAAAGACCACCCTGCCTGATAAAACAAGCCCCCCAACCTATGGCCTACTCCTTTGTCTAGACAGGAGACACAACATAATTTGGTTTTAAGTTTTCAAAGTGGACAAAATGCTCATTGTGTCTGGATGAATAGCAGGGATTCCCGCTTGTTAAATATTTGGTTGTAATAAAAAGGAAAACTGGTCCTTGTTTGACTGATAAACTCAGAAACAAAGTTTTCCCTTTGGACCGGCTGCAGTGGAGAACCACCCTCAGTGCTGCTTCCCGACTTGTGACTATGCAGCTCGGAAGGGCAGTATGCAGGGTTTTGTGTTTTGTGCTTGCTGGTTTGGGGAATTCTAATAATTTTGTTCTTGAATTTGTGTTCTGTAAAGGAAGTCTGGTGGTACAATGGAACATGTGCAGTGGGCTTGGTGCCTCAGTCCATATGCTTCATGGGATCTCAGCTACCTTCTTCTACCTTGGCTGTCCTCGCCAGCCAGTCTAATGCCCCAGACCTGCCAGGGCAGTGACAGTGTTGTGTCCCCTCATCTGCCTCCATGCCTGGCTGGGACTTGGGTACAGGCAAGGGGTGGATTAGGGATTGGGTGTGGCTGGGCACATCAAGGCAGGGCATGGAAGTGCCCATGTCACTTGGCAGTGACATGGTATGTTTCATGGGTGACTTGACAAAAAGTCATACCCACACCAGATACCAAGAACACTGCCACATATTTTAAAATGCCACTTTCATTAAAACTAAGGATGGTGGTATTTTTATTGCTAGAAAACAGATTACTAAGGCTCAGGTAATTTAAGTAATTTTTCCCAAGTCAAATTTTTCCCAAGCCGATGGTTCTGGGGAAAACAGCCTGAACATGATGGTTCTAGAATGAATAGCTAGCTCATCTGCACACAGAATCTACACTTTTCACTATCTTACTAGAACTCCTTTCTTTGAAAAATCTTAGTGGTAGAAAACTTGATCTTCTGAGAACAGATTCTATTTTTAAAAACTGGCAGAAGTCATTTGTGACCAAGCTTTAAACTATTTGAGTTTTGGGTATCTGAACTTAATTTTGATCAAAAACATATTATGAAAACATAGACTCTTTTCCTTGTGATCTACAAATTGCTGAAATCAGTCTTCCAGACACTTTTTGGGCTCTGGTGGCATCATGGCAGTTAGAATTCCCCGGGGGATGACTTTAGAGAGATGCTCTTACTTCTGAGTAAATTCATGTCCATATCTGACAGCTGTGGCATGTCAACAATGGAAATGATGACCTGGTGCCTGGAGCACTTTTCTTACGGGGAGAAGATGCATGACTTTTAAGTAATGCAAAGGCTCTAGAGGAACCTTGTATATGGTTCAATCCCATACTGTGCATCGGGACTAGGCTGAGTTGGGGACCCTTAATCTTATATAGACTAATACATCCCTAAGTGCAAGAGGAAGCTGCCCAGTCTCCATTTCTTTTATTCTGCATTGGCCAAGTCGAACCCTTTCATTGATTTCTCTGTTGGTGATTATACATACCATCTTCTTTCCAATATGTAGCTCAAAATTGGTTTTAATCTAATATATAGCTCAGAGTTAATTTTCTTAGTGAAGAACTGTGAGAATAGCTCACTCAGCCATTCTTGGTGCAGAAAATACTGCTGTGAGGGAAGGGGGAGACAAGGGGAGGGGACAGAAAAGCGATGAGAGAGGTGGCTGCATGGCACATTTTTAGACTGTAACTGGTGAGAAGTGACTTCACTTGCAATTTGCAATGTGCTTCTCTAAGCAAAATTTCCTCTCCAAACTCGGAAAGCTCTGTGGCATGCCTGAGAATAGCCACCTCCAGCTGCTCCACCCTCAACTAACTCACCCTTTTAACAGTTAGAACCAAGCTGGTTGGAACATAGCATTGCTACAATTTCCATAAACACATGGTATGCTTTTTCCTGGAAAAAAAATCTGTCGGCCAAATATGGAGAGGTCTAAGATGAAAGCTGAAATTTAGAAGCTACACTTCAAAGTAAAATTTGTCTATTTCCTAAAGTTTCCTTTCCAAAAAAATGCATTTCATATGGAGGCCTATATTTACAACATCACTAAACACAGTTTCTTGGAGAAAAAGCACTCAATGGGGATGCCAAGATCTCTGTTAGAACAGCGAAGGAAATAGTCTGGGAGGATCTTTTCTACCTTGAATTGAGAAAAATACTAGTTTCTGATAGAACAAAACAGAGACCTAAATGTAACATTTTTTTTTAAACAAAGGAATCAACAAAATATATCTTAAAGGATCAGACCCAGAAAGTAACACAATAATCAGCAGATAACTACCAAAAGCTTTTTGTTATTAATAACAATAGTCATGCTGTCTGACCTTATACTAATTGTTTGAACAATCTGATGAAGCAGGTTTTTTTTCCCCCTCCCATTTTATAGAGGGCGAGCAGACACACACACACACACACACACACACACACACACACACACACACACATGCGCGCACGCAAGCTAATTCGAGTAGGTCACCAGCCAGGTAGTGGCCGGGTGGAGTTAGGCCTGCAGAGCAGCCCCCAGCTCTTCAATACTGCTTTGCAGGCCTTGAGCTAGAACCTGGGAAATGAGCGACTGGCTCTCTGATTACCATGGCTTTGTTGGAATGGCCACCTCCTTGGAACTCGATGGTTCCAAAAGCATCTGTGGGGCTGAGTTGAGTGTGCTTGCTGATGGACCACTTCTCGGACTGGATGTCGTTTCGGGATAGGCGACTTTCATTTTTCTCATTCTGAAGAACGGAGATACTGGGAGTGAGGCCGACATGCTGGCCTATGAGACGCCCGCAGCAACACCTGTAATGTGAGAGTCAAAGTGAACCTTGTGTTAACTGCTGTCAGATACACATTCATGCAACCCCTGGAGAAATTCACATGCCCTCACAGCCTACTAAGTCAGTTTTCAGGAATTCCACAATGTGGTTTGTGTCAGGCAAATGGTGAACTCAGAATTTACCTGACATGCATATCTCCTCCTGTCTACCTTCCTCATTTTCTGAGAGCTATACAGGCCGCCAGGTGCCTCCTACCCCTTCCCACCCACACCTTCAGCACCTGCCATATTGTTCAGGAACCCATGAACAAAGCCCTCTAGATTTTTCTATTTCTCTCCCCTCCCATCTATCAAATCTTGCACGATGAACTGAACAGTTTAAAGGGGAGAATTCAAACATGCACATTTAAATAAGGAATCTCACTCGTATGCGATGTGACTCACGACCCAACTTGTCTTTTCCCAATTGACATTCATTGTCAGCTAACCAATTCTAAGAATAAAAATCTGCAGACTTAAGTGTTCTTGAGGAAACAATGAAAAATATTATTCATGAGATAATCTGGAAAATTAAAATTCACTCTTTATATCAGGAAAATGTCCTTCATACTTTACTATTGTTACTAATAAGACTGATCCATAGTAATCATTCATTAAATACAATAATGTGGTATCCATTTTAAGGATTTAAATAGTGTAGATCTGAAGGTCAGATATTTGGCTCAAGGTTATACAGGTTACACAATTATATATCATATATATATATAATTCACATGTATTAAACTGCTTTATTGTGTTGCCTTTTCATAAGGGCATTTCCAGACATTCCTATCTTGATCTTCAGGAAGGCAATTAGAATACTAGAAATGTGGTTGAATAGGAACCTGGAGTTCTTCAGTTTAATTAGTAATTTGTTAGGAGTCCTATTTAAAAATCTCCTTTCCATGACAGCAGAGCATGTGGGTACAAAATAAGGATGTTGATAAAATGTTTCAGAGGGAAAACCAATAACCATACTTAAAAATATATATTACTTGTTCTTATAGTGAGTGATTAATTCCTTCCCAAATGGCATATCTGTTACTCTGTACTGGCTCTTAGAGAATTAAGGGCACACAGTGCATGCTATGTGGTGCATACACACCAGATTGCTGCAAAGATGTCCAGTAACAATAAAAAATTATCTTTAGTTTGACATTGGTTCCCTTGCAATGGAGAGTGTTTACGATGGTAGTTTTACACCTGTAATTGCTAATTCATGTTCTGGATACATTATAGAGACAGCAAGATTACCTATGGGGGTCTTTGGTGCTGGGTATGATGTGAACACATTCTCTTTTATAAAACGCTCTTTCTATCCAGGATTTCTGAGCCTGGAAAAAAAAAAAACAGTGAAACAACCTTTTAAGTATTTTTGACTAGGAAGCAAAATTTCATAATCACATAATGGACTGGTATCTTATAAACTGAACAGAAACTAGTTATTTCACACATAAATACTGCCTATCATAAAATTAATCGCTCCCAAATTGGGTTACTTAACATTCTCATATTGAAAGTTAAAGGCAATGGTCATAACATAAAATTATCAGTGATGGAGTCATGTAAATTCATAATGATTTAGAATGCTAGAAAGACTGTTATTTACAGGGAAAATGAAAGACAGAGAGCAACATATTTATAATCTTACAGATAACAAGACATTCAGTGCTGGGGTGAAATATATCAAAATAAATATAGCTTTCATGGCTGACACTTGTATTAGATTTTCCTTGTAGAAGAAAAACAAATGGTGTGGGAATTATAAACTCAAAAGTCCTAATCCATCACTATGCTTCTAGAATCCAAATTAACGGTACTTAAATAGAAGGGGAAAAAAGAAATCGAAACATAATGAAGATAAATGTCTTCATCACAGTGCAGAGTTTCACAGGTAATGCTCCTGAATGAAAGACACCACTTTTTTTAATGCATCTCACATGCTTTTAAGCAAAACAAATTCAGTTTCTCAGAATGGGCACTGTCAGGACTGTCCATCTGAGATTGGGTCTGCAGAAAGGTAAGGGCAGTTTTGAAAACCAAACCATCTTTGTTCCAAGGCAGAATGTCCATCCTGCATCCCTTTACTTTGTTATTTACCAGCATTTGAAATAGAGAGGGGCATTCCATGAAATCTAGTAAGCTTCTCAGAGAATTCTTTCTCGAAGCATTTAAGGAGGAAGTGGTCAGACAACCCACAATCTTATTTCTCTGCGGCATCATCTTCTCTCTAACACAGCATCAGGACTAGATTTGACTCTTAAAACATATACTGCCAATTTGGGCCTCCCTAGTGGCGCAAGGGCCGCACTAGGAAGCAATCCGCAGCCTCTGCAGCACGAGTTTGATCCCCAGCCGGCCAGGGAGCAACACATATGGTGAGACAGACTCCTCCTGTCTCACCTGCTGCTCCCCTCAGCAGTATATTTCAGTCAGTTTGCCTGTTCTGTTCCCCACTCTGTCTCTGGTAAATCCTCTCATGCCCCACATCTCTGGTCTGTACTCTAGTTCTTGCATGCATGCATAAATAAATAAATCTTAAAAATAAAATAAAATATATACTGCCAAAGCATAGCCCAGATGCTAACTTTGCCTATTCCACTGACCTGTTACAAGTCCCCATTTGTTAGCCATGACTGTAAGTGATATTGACTCTGCAAGGGCACAGGTGTCTATGCACAGGTCTGGTGGCCTCTAAACCCTTCGTCTCACACCTTCCTCCTCTCTGGATGGAGAATCATGCAGTGTGTAGTACAGAGGCCGTGGCTGTCCAATACTTATGACAACACACATTTTATTTTTTAAAATTCATTAAATTTACTTATTAATTTCTTACATCGTTGTTCTTTTTTGGACACTATTTGATTTCTTCCATCGGGTGTAGTCCCTGTAGTTCTCCCACCACCACAGCACCTGTGATCCATCTCCATAGTCCCTTGTGTTCTTCCCTCCCCTGTTTTGACCCCTCTCCCTCCCTTTCCCTGCTGTACTCCCGAGCTCCATGGTCAATTTGCAAGTTTTGTCTTTTTCGTGATCCTTTATTTGGTTTCTTTATATTCTGCATATAAGTGAAACCGTGCAATATTTGTCTTTTCCTTTTGACTTATTTCACTTAGCTTAATCCCTTCTAGCTCCATCCCTGTTGTCACAAATGGCATGAGTTTATTTTCTTTTGATCACTGAGTAGTATTCCATTGTGTATATGTACCATGTCTTGATCCATCCATCTGTTCTGGGGCATTTAGGTGGTTTCCACGTCTTGGTTATTGTACACAGTGCTGCCATAAACATAGAAGCACAGCTTTTTTTCTGAATTAGTGTTATTGTACAATTCATACTTTAAAAGTAGCCACGTGAGGGATGCTGGATTGCTATGAAGGAGATGGGTCCTGCATCTATGGTCACAATTGGGCTGCATAACTTCTGAGTGTCTGTGCCTTGTCTGCATGAGTAGGAGCACGGATCCTGCCTCTGAGATTCTCAAGTGTAGGTGACTGACTGTGTGTGCATACCACGGAGGTAACATTTGCACTTCTGTTTGTCAGCTAGACATGAGAACAGCCCCAGTGTCTATTATCAAAGAGTTTTCTTCTCAAATATATAGGAAAGGCTAGTGGCTACATCCTTGAAACAGAAATGAGCTTAGCAGCACAGATAACCAGTCTTTATCTTTGTAAAAAAGCCTGTGAATTAAACTATTCATATGCTGTGATTTCTCCTAGACACTGAATTCTTTCATTGATAACATCTCTTGGCAGAAAGATCGTAAAAATATTCCTTACTGGATATTTGAAACCAATTCACCCTATACCTTAGGGAACAGAAGAGAGAGAGGCACTTTCCTTTTCTTTTTGTGGCCTACTTTGGCTAACATTCAGAAGGTTCTTCTGTGGGAGCATCTGGGAATTTCAGGGAATGCTGATCTGTAATTGCTGAGAGAAAGCAGGAATGGTGGTATCATGCATAGAGGTGGAGATTTGAAGCTAGAGTAAGTGGTGTGAGTGGGGGCTCTGCAGTGTGAACAAAGCCAAAGAACATCCTTGATTCTCAGTTTTCCACATCTAAGAAATGGGCACAACAATAACACCTGACATCCAGAGTTGTAATCATTATAATCCGGGTACTAGGCTTTCACTCAAGATGAACAACCAGTACTGGGCTAGTTGGTAACTGGCCTGTTATTAAACATTCAGATGAAGGCTCAGATGAAAGTGCTAGGAAATTGCTGTAGCAGATCTGGCCCAGATTGATCTCACTTTGCTTTGGGGAGGATACATTCAAGAAGGTCTGGTTGGTCACTAACAAGGTATTTAGAAAAGTTATTTAACTTCCCTGAGCCTTTTTATATGGATAATCATAATGACTTTGAAGAGTTGTATCAATCAAAGCAGGTGACTCAAGGAAAACATGTGGCACTTAGTAGGCGCTCTCTGGGTGGTAAGTGTACCTAATCTTTTTTCAAGGCTCACCATGTGCCTGGAGTTGTACCCTATATGTATTATATCCATGGATCCTCCATAGAACACTGTGAGGGACATGCTACTATTATACACATTTTATCAATGAAGAAACTGAGGCAGAGAGATGCAGCAAAGAAGTTTTAAAGTCAGAGTTTGAACTTGACCATCCTGACTCGAGTTCACACTCTTATCCACTGCTGCACTGCCTCTTCAAATTAGAAATTGATATTAAAAACAGCTGGTGTGGGTGCCACCTAGGCATGTCTGGGTGTGCCCTGGATTTGGACAGAGTTGGACTTCCAGAGGCATGTCCTAGAGGGTTCAGACTTGTGTCATTTCCCCTCCCATCCACCCTGGCAGTCCCCACAAGTGGCTAAATGAACATTTTGTTCTTTCTCACTTCTTGGGATAAAGAATTGGGATGGAACATTAGAAAGACACCAGAATAGGAGAAAAAAATCCAAGAAGGTGGGGCCCCTATTGTGGCTACAACAAAAAAATGTAATCACAGCAGGACTCCCAACTTGAGACTCTGGGGAGCATGCCGGGTGGATCAGACTTCTCAAGGGCACCTTCACTATTTCTCTTACTCATGGAGCCCAGTTTCAACTTGGATGGCTCTGGAAGTTTTAAACAGATGGTATGTAGTAAGAGTTCCTATCTATTGATGCAAATTTATTTTCTAGTCTTTAAGTATAAATAATTTGACTTTTAAACAGTTTAACAACTTAATTTCCTTCTCAGAGGTGAAAAATTACCTCAATGTTATTGAAGGGATTGAAGTTTTTTTTTTTTTTTTTTTGGTATTAGCAAATTAACCATTTCCCTTGCTACTACACAGAAATTAGGAGGACAAAAGAAACAATGTAAATTCTTTTCCATCATTCATAGTGAACTGAATTTTTTTTCTCTCTTTTAAAGAAGAGTATATTATAAAAAGTATACAGAATACATGAATTTGGAATTCTACAAGATTTCATAATTTGCTCATTTGGACTTTGCTTTATTGTGCTTTTATTCAGGTCTTCAGTGTGGATAGATATTAGATTTTAAAAAAATTACTCTCTTGGGGCTTCCTGGTGGCGCAGCGGTTGAGCGCTGGGTTGCGAAGCTGCCCGCAGCCTCTGCAGCGCTGGTTCCATCCCCGGTTGCTCCCTGGCCACCGGAGGAGGGTCCCACATGGCGTGCAGACCTCTCCTGCCGCCCGCTGCTCCCCTCAGCAGTGTACTTCGGTCCTTCTGCCTGCTCTGCTCCCCACTCTGGCTCTGGTGAATTCTCTCACCCTCCCGCGCTTCTTACTGTACCCAGTGCATGTATAAACAAAAACAACAAACAAACAAACAAATAAATAAATAAATAAAACATGCCTCTATAAAAAAAAAATACTCTCTTGGGCCTCCCTGGTGGTGCAAGGGGTTAAGACACAACCTATGAAGTTTGCCACAGCCACTGCAGCATGAATTCAATCCCCGGCCAGGGAGATTCCCACATGGCACAGCAGACCTCTCCTGTCTCACCCACTGCTCCCCTCAGCTGTGTATTTCAGTAGATCTGCCTATTCTGTTCTCCACTCTGTCACTGGTCAATCCTCTCACCCCCCACAGCTCTGGCCTGTACCCCAGTTCTTGTATGTATGAATAAATAAATCTTTAAAAAAATTACTCTCTTGGGGAGGTTATATCTAATGTATAATCTTGATTTAACTTGTTCCCTAAGCTAATTTCTTTTTCTTTTGATCAAAGGCTTTGAACCACTCTGTGCAAAGTTTTATTATTGGCTGCAACTCCAACTGAGCTAGGTCAGAATGGCTATCCTCTTTGTTAGAAAGCATGAAGTAGTCTTGACATGCCATGTTTTTTTGCTGACCCTCTCAT